CTCTCATGAATTGGATCTTTTTAACATATGAATTGCATTTTCTTATTGGTGGATATGGATAGACATCAACATGAATGTTCCACTTGAATGCACTCCTAATGGACTTGAATTTCTATTTAACTGCGATAAATAGATAAGGATGGTATAAGTTGGGAATTTGTTTTGCGTGGGAAACCAATCACATGGAACAGGATTATTATCCGAAATGACGGAGGAGAAAGACATACAAATAGACTTAGAATTCATTTGTTCGGCAATAGTGAACCCAACTGACTATGAAATGCATCATGATTATCATTAGAAGTAACTTTTTCCTTCAAAATTACAGAGTTTCTCTCATAAATAGCAGGAGTCGTATTAGACTATATCATTAGAACCAAAGATAGTCTGTTATTGTAGAGAAGACAAATGGATGTTGAGCTAGAAAGTACCACAATATTTCTCTGGGCAAGCAATAATATCTTTATCTATAAACACTATTGCTATTTAAGTTAGATATATAACTTAAGGCAAAATTGCCAGATTGATATATTTTGTAAATGTTTGGTGACATATTGGTATATTTTCTTTTAGTTTTGTCAGATTGGTATGTTTTGTTGACTCCGACGCCAAATACACCTTAAATTTGGCCGGAGTTACTGTTCCGACCAGTGCTGACAGAATTTCTTGCATAAAACCCCCTCATTAAAACCCCATCATGCTCCTATCCCCTCCTCCTCATCCTCTTCAACCTCCCCCTCTCCCTCATCCTCTTCCTCCTCATCCTCTTCAACCCCCCCTCCCTCCCTCCTAAATTCATCCACAGCTGCTAGTAGTTCAGCTTGCTTCTTGTTTGGGAAAATATTATCAACCTTCATCCTTTCCCTAAACCCATACGTTGGAATCCTTGCGTTCAAGTATGCTTCAAGCAACAACTCATGTAATTTCATCCTATTTCTGAACCCAGCTTGCCTTCATCCATTCTCTTTCATGTGCTTAACCAAATCTTCCCCCTCAAATAGAAGTTTATTTTTAGCATATATCCTCAGAAGAGCATCATAGAATTTTGATGAAACTTTATTTCCCAACTTCAATGTTTTCTCAAATACTTCCTCAGCCTTATCTACACAACCACGACGAGGTTTAGCCTCACGGCTCACACACTTTCCAAACCCTCTCAACATCAGAAGCTTTGTCAAGAGAAGCATATAGAGGGAGAACAAACTTGCAAGCCATAGATTGAATCATTAGATCAGGTCACATTTCCTCAGCTTTCATCTTCTCCACAATATGTTCGATGCCATGATGATGATCATGATGACGAGGTTTTGTTGAAGAGAATGGATGAGGATGATGATGATGAGGATGAGGGAGAGGAGGGAGAGGGGAGGAGGAGGGGGGTTAGGAGCATGATGGAGTTTTAATGAGGGGGTTTTATGCAAGAAATCACGTCAACACTGGTCGGAACAGTAACTCCGACCAAATTTAAGGTGTATTTGGCGTCGGAGTCGACAAAATATACCAATCTGACAAAACTAAAAGAAAATATATCAACATGTCACCAAGCCTCTATAAAATATACCAATCTGACCATTTTGCCTATAACTTAATAGTAAAAAATATTTAATAAAAAAGTAAGACCCATTATATTTGACCATGTGCAATGCACGTGCATCCCACCTAGTAGCATTAAACCAAGGAGTTTTAGAAAGAGCTAAAAATAGTCCAAAAGAACATGATTCTCATTATATCATTCGAAGTAACTTTTTCCTTCAAAATTACAGAGTTTCTCTCATAGATAACAGGAGAGTTGCATTAGAATATATCATTAGAACCAGAGATAGTCTGTTATTGTAGAGAAGACAAATGGATGTTGAGCTAGAAAGTACCACAATATTTCTCTGGGCAAGCAATAATATTTTTATCTATAAAAACTATTACTATTTAAGTTAGATATATAACTTAATGGTAAAAAAAATTTAATAAAAAACTAAGACCCATTATATTTGACCATGTGCAATGCACGTGCATCGCACCTAGTAGCATTAAACAAAGGAATTTTAGAAAGAGCTAAAGGTAGTCCAAAAGAACATGACTCGTGATACAGATGAAGAGTAAAACTTCTTGTCATGGGAAGCAAAACCTTCATAGATTACAAATAAGGAGTTCCATTTTTTTTAAACACCAAGGTTAAGAAGAATAGATTAAAAATAAAGAATATAAATAAATCCAAGTAATTTTTCAAGGAACTTATAATATACCCACACAAAAGTATGTTCATGATATAAACTAAAGCTCCATTGAAATAAAACATAACATCCAGCACTATCTAATAGAATCATCATAGACCACATATAAATGACATCTATTCCTCTATAATAATGGGAGGACCCAAGATTCACTATTCATGCTACAGTAAATGATATATAAAAAATGTTACTGTATCACATACAAAAAATGTATTTTAAATACAGAATTACTATAGTGGAAATAAAAAAATGGAGACCATGCTTTGCATGGGGTGCACACTAGTTCTACTAAAGGGAAATAATATTAATACCTCATAGCGGTCCATGGTAACATACATCCGCCCACCACCAGAAGCAATTTGTGCATCAATACCTTTCTCTCGCAACTGCAGAAGGGTATTTTCAAGTGTTTCTACAAACCCTACACTTGATCCATCCAAAACATCACGACCATCAGTAAGAATATGCACTCGAATTCTTTTGGCACCATGCTCACTGGCACCTTTCAGCAACAGCTGCAAGTAAAAAAAAGATCATTAGCGCAGAAAAAGTAATGTATACCAAAGACGAGAAGGAAATTTCATTTAAGTACCTGTAACTGGTCAAGCCGAGAGTGGACACCCCCATCACTCAATAAACCTATTAGATGCAGAGTACCTTGCTCAAAGCATTCCTTGATGTAATTAAAGCCTTCTCCTTCATAAATCTTCCCAGAGGCAAGAGCCAGGTCAACCAGCTTAGCACTGTAATGTAAACAGCCTTTCCTTCAGTACAGGGCAATCACAGATGGTTCTAACCAATTGGACAAAAGGGGTCAGCAATGACAATGACAACGATAAAGAGAAGTTGTGTCCTTGAAGATGTATCAATATTAGATGTTCTAAAGTCCCTATGTTTGCATAACGGCCACTGTATGATTTTTCCTGGGGAGCAGTGAACCTACTTTATATCCATTTAAAGGGGTAATTTTGTCCATTTACACAAATTTAAAGTAAATTGCTCCAAGCAGTAAGCGGCATCAAGAAAACATTAACAATGTTGACATAAATGAAATTCACAGTATATAGTAAAAGGCTCTATTTTTTCCTGTGATTTGGTCTATTTAATATACGTTTATTTAACTTAGAAAAATAATTACCTAAACTCTTGAAATTTGGAGAATGATGTAGGAGATAAAGCACAAAATGAGGATTCATAAGATAGAGTTCGTAAGAATGCCTACAGAAGCCCACTTCTGAAACTATCCCATAATAAACTAACTGACATAACTAGAAGCAGCAGTAAATATACTAGACAGAAAGATATAAAAACCATACCCTTGAGCATATATCCGGCCAGCACCCAACGCATTGTGACCTACTTCACTGTTACCCATGTCATCCTCAGTGGGAAGTCCCACCGCAGTGCCATGAGCCCTTACCAATCTCCATCTCTCAGGGGCACCCTTCAGAAAGAATATGAAGTGTTAATAGCTGAGCTTCAAACAAAAACCTAGCTTAGAACTAAGCACATACAGAGAAGCGGGTTGTCGCACAATCTACCCATCATTCCCCCCTCCATCTTAAATTCAATGAACCGTATATATTATCCCAATAGTAAGAGGATATGAAGAGGCATACTTCAATCTTACGCTACATACAGTCTAATTCCTAGCTAATATCCATTTTCCCTACTTCTGGCTTCACTTCACTTGCACCCCAGTTATAACTAAAGCATCAAAGGAATTATGAATTTTGTATAAGCCTGATCTTCCTGATTGAGCTATAGGACTGGCTCCTTACAAGGTAGATCAAGTTTTACTCTATGCTTCAAATTTTCATCCGACTAACAGGAAACGCCCGTCAAAGTAGTTATCTTGTGTATCAATCAAATCTCATCAGACATGTTAGAGCTCTTAGTAGCAATACATGCAAGAAACAAATTTAATAGTTCAAGGGGGACGAGAAGGGACCAATGGAATCAGGCCAAGAGGCACAGAGGGACGGGGGCCATCATATTTTCCAACATTGAGAACATACAGTAGTTTATTGTTTAATGACAAGACAAAAACTTTCGCAGCCAATAAAAAAAAAATCATAAAATCACCCCCCAAACACAAACTTAGCCTTAGGAGCTGTTTGGTTGACTGGTTTTATAGAAAATTTTATAAAAAATGACTGATAGTGATAATTTTGTAAATAAATTTTTTCTGGAGATTTCTGTAAACTTTGTTTGGTTAAAAAAATTACACAAAAATTTTCTATAAAGTACAAAAAATTATCTCAATTATAGAAATTAATTTTCGCTCAAAATGAACGGAAATCAACCAAAAATCTGATGCATATATTAAATATATTAGTACAATTTCCACGCAAATTTTCATGGGTATTGGTAGTAAGCTATTTTCTATAAAGAGAAATCTAACCAAACAAAAAAAAATAACATATTTTCTATAAAGTTAGAAACTTTCTATATTTTGAAGCAAGAAATATGATACTCTTTTTGAGTTCTATAAATTTTTCCTACAAATTTTATAAAAATACACAGAAATCTTTTTTATATAGAAATTGAACCAAACAAAACCAAACTTACATTTCTGAGCGAATCCATGGTCGGCGTCTTGGCGACATGAATACAGTTATACCTATCGGGATCCGCCTCGCCCCATCCATCCAGAACAACTACAGCCACCGTCTTCCCCTTCGGCAGCTTCGGATGAACCGCCAACTCCCATGAGAAACCCGAGCTGCTCATTTTCCCTCTAAAACCCCCTGCAAAATTTGACCAGCAAATAAGATTTTGAGGCTCGATTTGATCGATTTCGATGGTCGGCGTAGGGTTTTAAGGGAAAAAAGATCTCACCTTTTTTTCTGGAAACTTCTCGGTTCGGTCAGGGTTTGGAGGTCTGTATAGAAAAATGTGGAAAGCGATACTTTTTATAGGGGGGAAAGGGAGAGACCATGGGCTTCGTTTCCTTGTTGGCTGAAGGGCTGCTTGGTTCGTTTCCGTAAGGAAAATTTGGAGACAGCCCCCTGTAATATTTTCCAGTTTTAAAGAGACTCCCTGTAGTTTTATTTGTTACGAGTAGAAGTCATGAGTTTTTTTTAATTAACTTGTTTATTTATTTTCCACTCTTAAAACTGTTAAAAATATTTGAGGAGGTATGTAGACCTCTTATAGTTCTATTGGTGAGGATAGATATCCAACTACTAAAAAACTTTAATTTTAAATGAGTCAAAGAGCTTTACTAGGAGACTGTATTATTGGTACCTGGGCCAATACTGCATGGGGTTTGTTTGCAATGAGGAGAATAATAGGGTGTCTTTTCACAATAAATAGAACTATATAAAGATGGCTTTGCCACTTGGTGATATTACACGTAACATGTTCGCAGTTGACCCAATAGGAAATGGAGGCCGAAAGGATTAATTATAGAAAATCCTCCTTAACTTTTTGGGAGTAGCAGTAAACTCCCCTTAGCTCTTTTTTATTACATTAAAATTTTCTAAACATTGTGAGTTATTGCACATAGCTTTTCTAACCTTTTTATTCTGCTAAATTTCACATGAATATTTTTTATTTAATCGTCAAATTAGCTCTGTCAATTTAACATCTATGTGACATACATGTGTTGAAAGATGAAAAGAATCTCTAAGTCCCAAAAAATCACGTAGTTTCTATTTTTTTAATAAAATAATTTCTTTGGGACTAAAAATAAAATTTTTGTCTTCTTTTTTGTCAATGCTTACCAATGACATGTTAGAGTTCATGCAGCTTATACGAAGATTAAAAGATAATATTTAGGTAAGATCTAAGGAAATAAAACAACTGGTGTGGGGGGGTGTTATGTGCAATAACTCCTAGAAATTTAGTGTGTTTAGCCTAAGGGGGTGTTTGGTTGCATTGTTTTTGAGAAATGTTTTCTCAAAAGTACTGACGCATGACATTTATGTAATTAATAGTTTTCTATACATTTCTATAAACTGTGTTTGGCTCCAAAAAAATTTACAGAAATGTTTTCTGTAAAGTGTCCAAAAGTAACAAATTTTATGGAAATTGATTTCCTTCTAAAATGGGAGGAAATCTCTTAAAAATCTGACGCATTCATTATTTAAATAATAAAACTTATTAACTCTTTTCTACAAAGTTCTTACTTTTCTATAAAGTTGGTGGTGTTTGGTTACATTTCTATAAATTATAGGAAATGTTGTTATTTTCCCAAAAGTTATTTCTCATTTTCTTGTTTTGAACCAAACAAGCACAATACAAAAATAAGAAAATTTATACTTTTTAACTTCTCAAAACTTTTTCTATAATTTTTTTAAGAAATACAAGGAAATCAAATTTGGGATGGAAAACATTTCCTATAATTTATTGAAATGTAACCAAACACCCTCTAATAAAAAGGTTGAGGTGGATTTACTATCAGTCCCCAAAAGTTTAGGGGTTTTCTATAATTTAATCAATTAAAAAACATGAAAGCTGATGGTTCTGGAAGCATGATGTTAAATATATACTAAATAAATTCATGTACGAATTTAATAGTAAACATTCATTTAATATACATTAAATATCACTGATTGTCGTTATGGAATACTTTCTCGATCAGTGGGGTCATTATTTTATTAAATTTTATTATATTTTCAATCTAAATTTTGCCTCCAAAATTGACCCGTTATTTTATGGAGAAACGGTTTCTAGCCCATTGGATCTAGGAGTCTACGTGTACAGCCGCCATGAAGAAAACCAAAAGCTGAGAACGCCCTAGCGGCCTAGCCCAAAGAAACGATTAATTAAGGGCTTGTATGGTTATTTCCTAAAAAACCAAAAAATAGAAATGAAAATCAAGAAATCTCAAAAAGTCCAATTTCACACATTTTCATCCCTAAAATTCACTCACAATATCTAATAAAATATTATTTTTATCCAACAACTCATCCACCACATCTAATAAAATATTATTTTCATCCAACAACTCATCCATCACATCCCCACATCTAATAAAATTTTATTTTCATCCACATCATCACTCAACTCATCTCATCTCATATTTAAAATCACTCACATCATCCAATAAGATTGTGACAACTCATCTCATCTCATTACATTTTATTTCTTTGTTTTCTTCCCAAAAAGCTAGGAAAATAATTTCCTAAAGTGTGGGTCACATCATCCAATAATATAATGACAATACATCTCATCTCATCTATTTTCTTATTTTTAAGAAATAACCAAATAAAAGAAAACAATCTAATACAAGAAATATGATTCTTATAATTTATTTTCTTATTTTTTCCGCCAACCAAACAATATCAAAACAAGTTTTCTTAAAAAATCACTCACATCATCCTATAATAAGGTGACAACTCATCTCATCTCATATCCATTTCTTTGATTTCCTTCTTTTTTTAACCAACCAAACAATCCCAAAACCTATTTTTCTTAGAAATAGGTTTCATTTTCTTTGATTTCCCTCTTTTTTAGGCAAACAAACAGGCCCTAACCCCCTCAAACCACTTTACATCTCTCTTATTTTTTTATTCTCCTTTTTACCTCTTTGGGCCTGTTTGGTTATTTCCTAAAAAACCAAAAAATAGAAATGGAAACCAAAAAAATCTTAAAAAGTACAATTTCACACATTTCCATCCCTTAAACTCACCCACAACATCTAATAAAATATTATTTTTATCCAACAACTCATCCACCACATCTAATAAAATATTATTTTCATCCAACAACTCATTCATCACATCCACCACATCTAATAAAATATTATTTTCATCCACATCATCACTCAACTCATCTCATCTCATATTTAAAAATCACTCACATCATCCAATAAGATTGTGACAACTCATCTCATCTCATTAACATTTTATTTCTTTGTTTTCCTCCCAAAAAGCTAGGAAAATAATTTCCTTAAGTGTGGGTCACATCATCCAATAATATAATGACAACTCATCTCATCTCATCTATTTTCTTATTTTTAAGAAATAACCAAACAAAAGAAAACAACCTAATACAAAAAATAAGTTTCTTATAATTCATTTTCTTTTTTTTCCGCCAACCAAACAATATCAAAATAAGTTTTCTTAAAAAATCACTCACATCATCTTATAATAAGGTGACAGCTCATCTCATCTCATCTCCATTTTTTTTATTTCCTTCTTTTTTTAGCAAACCAAACAATCCCAAAACCTATTTTTCTTAGAAATAAGTTTCCTTTTCTTTGATTTCCTTCTTTTTTTAGGCAAACAAACAGCCCCTTTGTCGAAATCATCTCATGTCTAGGATGTCCCCCTCCTTTAGGGGCTGTTTGGTTGTATGTTTTTACCATGTAAAATGATAGAAAATGTAAAAAAATGGGTCCCAATGTTATCTTTCATCATTTTACATTGTTTGTTTAAATTCTCTTTTATATAAAAAGCTTACACCTTTTGATGATGTGTCACCGAAAGCAAAATCCAAAATTAGGAGTGATTTTGTTAGAAAGCTGACACAATGAATGTGTCCAAAAAAATAATAAAAAAGTCAAAACCTTGTAAAAAATGGTGAGGTGGATAACCACTTTCCATTTTGTGTCATAAATACTCTAGTTTACATTATACTATCCAAACAATATAATACTATTATTTTAGGATTCACAAAGATTCCTAACCAAACAATGTAAACACTCGAATGGAAAGTGGTGAGGTGGATAACCACTTTCTATTTTGTGTCATAAATACTCTAGTTTCCTAAAGGCATCCAAACAACCCCTTAATCTTCTTCTTCTATTTCTCTCACCCAAGCTGAAAAATCACCCTAGGATAATTCATAGCATTTTTCTTTAAATTCGTATAAAATAATTGGTAAAAACCAAAATCTATAAATTTGTATGACAACTTTAATTTGCACTCTAAAAAAATTCCTTTTGCTCAATACTAAAAAGTCAAAGGGAATTTTTTTTTTGTAGAACTCCACTAAGAATTTTATCAATCCACAACCATGTCAATAACCACCAATGTTGGGCGGGCCAGTAGGTCACATGTATGCCAAAAGGCGCAACCAAAGGAAACAAACCACCAATGTTAGTGAAGCTGCAATCGCAATGGGAGACAAGTTTCGTGCCAAAATTAGGCAAACAAAGGTCAAAGATACTGGCTTAGTAACGACTCAAAATGGGACGATGATGCCGATGAAGACCTCAACATTATAACCTCTAGAACCACCGCTCTCGAGCAAGCTTTCCTCTCTCATGAAGACACTAATATCGCTAGAACCGATGATCGCGGACCCTGGTGACTCGCCGAGAGCAAATTTGAGAAGAAATTAGGGTAGATCACCGGAGAAATCGACAAACTGATATTGTGATTGTAAGCATTGTCAATAAAATTTCATATAATAAAATTAGGAATTCATAAATTACATACCTCTGTGAAAAACTTGATTAACATTCTCCAAATGATCACTGATTTTCATAGTGTCATCCGTAAATTGATTTTCTATTATAGAAAGAGTTTTCTACAAGCGATTAGCTTGCACCTTTCGGCTAGACTTCATTTCTCAGAGAAAATGCTATGAATTATATGCTGGTGAAGTAAGAATAGAACTAGGCTTCATTTCTCTACTCCCTCTTCTGGTGGGTTCAAGATGATCTTTTCTTTTCCTGGAATCATTTTGATTTTTAGTATTACTTAAAGGAATAGAAAATAAAGTTTCCATAACCTCTTCAAGAGAAGACTTTTCTCCAAGAAACTCACAACAATTAATCTATCTTCAATGAATTTCACATGTCTGCTCTCAATGATGATCTTATCTATTGGATCATACAACATGTACCCCTTAGAGAGCCCATGATACCTAATTAATAGACACATTTTAGTCTTAGCTTGAAGTTTATCTCTTCCTGAATCTTGGATGAGAACAAGTGCAACACAACGCCATACCTTCATATAGTTCAACTTTGGTGTTTTATCATATCAAAGTT